CAAGGGTTAAGATCCCCTTACCGGTCATCTTTTAAAAAAATAAAATAAAATAAAAAAATAAACAGCGTGATGTGAAAAATGGGATGTGTGTGTGTGTGTGTGTGTGCGCGCGCGTGTGCGTGCGCGCTTGCGCTATATTAGATTGGGAGAGAGGTCAGAGAAAGCTTCTATGAGGTAGTGATATTCGAGATTAAACATGAAGATGAAAAGGAGCCAGCAATGTAAGGAGTTAAATAAATAAATAAATAGTTATATGTGGCTAGTGGCTGGGTAGGAAGACCAGCAAGTGCAAAGGCCCTGAGGTGGAAAGAGCTTGGCCTGTTCCAGGAACAGAAAGGAGATTTCTGATCTGATGTGGCTAGTGTGCTGTGAGTGTAAAAGAGAGGGAGACAGGGCCAGATTACATAGGGTTTAGGTGGCCACAGTGGAGACTTAGAAGAGAATTCAAAGCACAGTGGAAAGCTCTTGGAGAACTTTAAGCAGGGAGGTACCAGGGTCTAATTTACATTTTTATAAAGATCAGTCTGGTTGTCTTGTGGAGAATGGATTATCAAAAAAGGAGAGGAAGCAAGAGATGAGTTGGAATCTTTTTCAAAAAGGATGGAATGAATAAATGCAGGTAACTGTACTTTCTCTTAAACCCCCACTAAAATCACAGAGTTTTGTTTTTTTAAAGATAGAGATGGAGGAAGCAGAACACAAACCACAGCATCATTTTGGAAGCTGGAAATCAGTGTTAACTGATTAAGCAGGTCTGTAGGGCTGGCCAGTTAGCTCAGTTGGTTAGAGGTTTGTGTTATAACACCAAGGTCAAGGGTTCAGATCCCCATACTGGCCAACCACCAAAAAAAAAGCAGCTCAGTTGATTAAGCAGGTCTGAGACAGCTGAGCTTGAAGCCTGCAAGGGGAATAACAATGAAATAATCTGAGGCTCAGGAGCTGGCAACACCTGGTGCCTCTGGAGCTCTGGTAAGGACTGGTGAAGGAAGGAGGAACAGGTGAAAAGCAACTTCTGTTAGAGCCCTTCTCTGGCTCCCTGCCTCTGGGTAATGGTTCTTTCCATGCCCCAGCAGACATCTGGAGGTTTATTATCTGAAGAGAGTAAACCAGAGGCTGGCCCGGCACAAGTGAGGGCCACGGTAGTTTACCAGTAACAGGGGCATGAAGTGACTATAAGTCTATTGAATGCTAAATGTTAACAGCCAGCTCTGACCCCCTCAACCTCACTCAGCTCCCAGAACCTCTGTCTTCCAAAAAAAGAGATCAGAAGACTGCTCTGGGGAACATGACCAACCAAAAGGAAGGACTCAGAGACCCTGAATCAGGTTCCTCTGTACATGGCCTGCCCAGATCACCCAGAGTGAACCTCAAAGCCAACAAACCTCTTCCACATACTCAGAGCTTCTTTTCAGTGTTTTAGATCTTCACTGTGAGCAGACAACCAAGGATTTCCCAATAAATGAGTCCTCCAACGTGGAAGACAAAGACCAAAACCATAACAGAGCAAAGTGTTTTGAAGGATATATACTAATGCAGTGATAAAAAAGCTTTAAAAAATTAATATCTTGGGCTGGCCCGGTGGTGCACTGCTATAGTGCGCCGCCTGGGAAGCGTGGCAGCGCTCCCGCCGAGGGTTCGGATCCCACATACAGGCCGGTTCCCGCTCACTGGCTGAGCGAGGCGTGGGAGCAACACCGAGGGTTGCGATCCCGTTGCTGGTCCCGGTCCGGTGCGGGGGCGATACTGAGGGTTGCGATCCATTGCCGGACATGGAAAAAGACAAAAAGGGAAAAAATAATAATAATAATAATATCTTTAGTGAGACAAGAGAAGAGTTCACATTCAGGAAATCAGGACATAGAGCAGAAAAGAAAAAAAGGGCACTTAGAAAAAGGGCGGCTGGTTAGCTCAGCTGATTAGAGCATGGTGTTGTAACACCAAGGTCAGGAATTTGGATCCCTGTACTGGCCAGCGGCCAACTGCCCCCCGCACCCCCTACGAAAAAAAGAAATTAACAAGATGGCAGAATTGAAAAAAAAATCACATTGGAAGAGAAATTCTGATAAACCTCCCAGAAAATAGAACCAAAAAACAGATGGAAAAATTAGAAAAGATAAGAATATTAGACATCAGTTCAGGAGATCCAACAGAACAAAGAAAATGGCAGGAAATCACTAATGAAATAACTCAGAAATGTTTATCTGCTCTGCGAGGTTCTAGATTGAAATGGTCCACCAAGTGCCCAACACAATGAATGAAAACTACCTACACTGAAACGCGTACCTACTCCTATTTTTATATCCAACCCTGGAGCCCTGGCTTTCTCTGGTTCCTGGGCACTTGCTCTTCAGCTCTGATTCTGAGTGCCCCTCCTACCCAGGTGGCCAAGACTAAGCAGCAGATTGAAGAACAGCGGGTGCAGGTGCAGGTGGTGGAGCGGGCCCAGCAGGTGGCAGTGCAGGAGCAGGAGATCGCCCGCCGAGAGAAGGAGCTGGAGGCCCGGGTGCGGAAGCCAGCAGAAGCTGAGCGTTACAAGCTGGAGCGCCTAGCAGAGGCAGAGAAGTAAATTTCCCTTCCTCAATCCTGTTCTGGCCCCTTTACCACCCAGGCGCCCCCAGCTGGAGAGCTGAGGCCTTTACTATCTCGACTCGTACAGAACTCAGGTTGCAAGAGCCTCTGTCTCTTCAGTACTTGGCCTTTCTCCTGGGAGCAAGGGCCCCTACTTGGCTCCTTCTTCCACTTCTCTTCTGTCTCCAGGTCCCAGCTGATTATGCAGGCAGAGACAGATGCCGAGTCTGTGCGGGTGAGTTAGGAAGTGG